AGCACATGATGTTTGGGGATTGGCTCCAGGAAGATGCAGCTGCCTGTAGGGGCAGGAGGCCTGTAAGCCACGGACATCTCTGCTCGATGGGGCTTGGGTCTTAAAGAACTGGGCCTGTTTCAGCATTGCGGAAGAACAGACCGGGAGAATAAAAATAATAAGAAGTAGGAGCTGGCATTTATTAGCCCTTCTTCTGTGCTAGGCCTCGGACTGAGAAGAACTTAACACATGAGGGGCAGGCACTCTCGTGAGCCCCATTTTCTAGAAGGGGAAATGGAGGCTCAGAGAAGGCCGATGACCTGCCTAAGATCATGCAGCAAGTAAGTGGCCGAACCCGGCCTGGAGCTCAGGCTGTCCCAGCCTGTAACAGTGGAGCACTTGGGGAGAAGCCAGGGTTGAGCCCTGCTCTCAGGGCTTTGGCACAGGACTTCTGGAACATGGTCAGGGGCCAGGATCCTGCCTCGAAGGCCGTTGGCCCAGTGTCTCCAAAAGACCTGTTGACAGACCAGAGCAAACTGGGGTAGCCCATGCCAGCAGACGGTGTGAAGTGGTTGGCAGGGGCCCTGGGTAATGTCTGTGGCATGTCTCGCTCACCCTGGGCAGACTCCGGTGGGACGCTTGGTCCCCGCGGTGGGGGGTGGGTGGTAAAGCTTTTGCATTGGAGCGGGAGCTGAGCTGAGCCACCCACTCTTGTCCCTAAGCTCCCGAAGTAGCTTCCTACGCCTCCCAGAGACAGATGCTCTGGTAGAAATAGTGAGATACCACCTCCACCAGCAACCTAGGGGACAGCACCTGCCTTAGGGTGGGGGAGAAGGAGCCCGGGGCTCTTCGTGCCTACCTCCCCCACCTTCATCCCTGATCTGACTTCTCCCCAAAAGGCAGGGGCCAAGTTACCCATTTTAATTTTAAGGGTTAAGGACTCCTCCTCAGCTCTTTCATGGTGTGTCACATGGCAGGGGACTCTGGAAACAGATCCAGCATGCCCTGTCACTGCTCCATTAAACCCTGGCTCAGGGTCTTCACGCCTGAAGAAGTGGCTGCTGCATGTCATTGTGGGGGTGGGGGTGGGGGCTGGAGCTGATTGTCCTTGCATGAGTGGGGGACACACATCAGTGAGCCTGAGCCCTGCTGTCTTCCTGTTCCCTTCTGTCCCCCCAGGCTCAGGTGGCTTTCCTCCAGGGAGAAAGGAAAGGGCAAGAGAATCTCAAGACAGACCTGGTGCGGCGGATCAAGATGTTGGAATATGCGCTGAAGCAGGAAAGGTGAGCACTGCTATCCTGGGTCCAGCCTTCTGAAGAGTCAGGCCCGAACGGGCGGGTGAGGAGGCCGGCCACAGTGCCTTCCAGCCCAGGGAGGTTTGGAATCCGGCGTTCTCTTCCCCATTGCCCAATACTGTGTGATTCTAGCGCAGGGAGACAGAACGAGACATGGTAGGTGGGGTTCAGGATTAGCACTAGTAACAATATTCATAATGATGGTGGCCCCCACTGTATGCTCATTGCCTCATTGACCCCTTCCAGTCACCTCATGGGTACAGGTGAGGCTTCCAGAGGGGAAGGACTTCTTCAGGGACTCCTGGAGCTGGGTAGCACCACAGTCTGCCTGACTCCAAAGAGTGGGTTCTTCATAATGCCGTGTGTGGCCTCTTCCACCAGGGTGGCTTCCTAAAGGTGGAGTGAGGTGGGGGCGGGGAGGGGGCTCAGCTTCCGCGGTCAGGGAGTGGGCTGTGGGAGGCCCTGGGGTCTGGGATCCCTGAGGTGAGTGCTGGCCCTGTCTACTCCTCTGCATCTGTCATCCGTTAATCATTTGCTTTTCTAGGGCCAAATACCATAAATTGAAGTTTGGGACGGACCTGAACCCAGGGGAGAAGAAATCAGAACCAGCAGAACAAGGTGCCCACCTGCAGATCCGCCCGACTTGCCCACCCCCCGAAACGGAGCTCAGTGTGGTGGAGTTGCGTGGAGTTGGGCCACCTCTTTCTTACTTTGCTCCACAGAAAGCAGACTTGCCTGGGGGGCTGGGGAGGGCTTGAACTTCACTCTCAGTGCCCCCTTTGTGGGCTGCTCTGCAGGGCCCCTGAGTGGGGAGGGGGCTGGATTTCGGTGAAGAAGGCCAGTCCTGCCTTCTGTCCCTCTGTGACACAGACAGACACTGTCCCTAATATTCTAAGCTCCTTGTTCACCAACAAGTAGGTAGGGCAGGTGTTCCAGGTAGAGGGACACGTGTACGGGAGTTTGGCGATGTGAAAGAGGGGACGAGGAGTTACTGGGTGTGACTGGAACAGGTGGTGTGGGACAGTGGAGGTGAGGGGCCGGGTGACCCATCAAGGCCGTCAGGGCTGGGTTAACAGTGATGTTGTTGTTTACATCAGACCCCTCCCACCAGGACTGGAGTCCTAGAGGGCAGGGGTCTTTGTAGCCTGGGCACCTAGCCAGCTGCCTAGTAGATGCCCAGTAAGTAGTTGATGAATACAATAGATGATCTCATTTAATCCTCCCAAGAATCCCGAGAGCTAAGTGCTACTGTTATTAACTGATTTTCTCGGAAGAGGAAGCTGAGGCTCAGAGAGGTAAACCAACCTGCTTGAAGTCACACAGCTGGTGAGCGGCAGAGCCGGACTTGAAGTATAGAGTCTGGCTCTGCCTGCTGTCTCACAGCGGGGCCAGCTTCCCGTGTGGCAAAGTAACAAGTAGATGGGAGTCTGCAGGGCGTCTGGGGGGTGGTCTGGGGAATGACCCCAGGAGAGTGGAGGGCGTGGAGGGGTGAGGGTAGGTTTCGGATACCCTCAGGCAGGGACTCGGCAGGACGTGTGACAGTGACCAGTAGTGACTGAGGAGGGTTTGAGGGAGAGGAAGGTGGAGGAGGTGATGGGTACGTGGCACTGCCCTAAGATAGTCTGCCTCCTTTGTCTCCACTCTCCAGTCTCCAATGGCCCTGTGGAGTCGGTCACCCTGGAGAACAGCCCGCTGGTGTGGAAGGAGGGGCGGCAGCTTCTCCGACAGTGAGTGTGCAGGACGGGGTGCTGGGCTGGAGTGGGGAGAGGGACACGTTTGGCTCGGGAGATAAGCCTGAAGACTCCACAGTCCTTCCTGTCCCCGCTGGGGGTGGGACACTGGACTGTCAGGATCCCTGCTGGTCACGCTGTGGGTGGAACCAAGCCTGGGAGGGAGGGAAGACTTGCTGCAAGAGGCAGAAGGGGGGCGGGGCGCTCCTTTTGGGATGTGACCCCAGATATCGCTCACTTAAAAAAAAAAAAAAGGGTAACGTTATGTTTTACTATTAAAGAGATTAGTGTGTTTTTAGAAAACTCACGAAATAATAGGGAAACACACACACACACACATATAAAATCACTCATAATTCCACCACCCAAGGAATCTCATGCTCCTGTAAGCATTTTGGCGACTCTGGTGGGGCTCTCTGTGTGTGTTTTATAAAAGCAGGCACTCCCCTCCTCCAGTATTTTCTACTGCATTGTTTTTGTGTTGTGGACATCCTTCCATATAAATTAGTTAGGTTGCATCATCTTAAGAGCCGTATGATTGTCTGTCACACAGATAACCATCACTTTCCATAGCCAGTCACTTCTTGTACATTTCCGTCGAAGATGGGTCTGTAGCGTGACAAGCATCAGGCAGATATTTGTCCCTATTCCCGACTTCCTTAAGCCGGATGTCCGGAAGCTTGCTTCCTCACAGTGTGTGCCAGCAATAACGACAAAACGGTTCTTGTAGGCAGCACCTTCCCAGGTGCCTCTTACGTGCCCCTGTACCCACATTGATGCCGGGTGTAAATTCTATGCGGTAAATAAACTACCAGTACTCCCCTAGCAGAAAGGCAGGTAGGGCGTGTGTTGGTGGAAGACGACACAGCTGATAAGTAAGTGAGGGGTCTGAGATGTGACCCCAGAGCCCAAGCTCTTCATCACCGTGCTCCCCTGCCTGCCCTCGGGTGGGGCGGGGGCCTCGGCCACAGGCGGGCGTGGGGGATGAGACAGCAGGTGAAGGCAGGTGTGCCTCGGCATGCGAGGGGCGGGCTCAGGGGTCCCAAAGGCACCAGGTCGTGGTAAACAGAAAAGGCTTCTGAAGGAGCCTCCAGAGGACCAGATATCCACAGGTAGCCGCAATTGATTTTTTTCCCCTATTTGTAACTTTTAAACCAGTTCCAGCTAGCTTCCATTTTTTGAAATTGCGGCCGTAAACACCGATTTGTAGAAGTGAGTAGAGTGAGTTGTAAAGATTGCTCTTACGTCTCTAACCCCTTATTCCGAAGGTCCAAGGTCACTGCCAGTGCACTGAGTATGTATCTTTCCAGGCCTCGTGGGCGCGCACTTCGAGTGTTTGTGTGTGGCCTGTACCGGTACACACGTTAGTACTTTCTTCTTCTTTTTTTTTTTTTTTTTAAACCCATGAATTGTGTGGCTCACATAACTTGTGATTTTCGTTAAGCCGCTTATTGTGGCTGTCTTGGCCCTCTGCCTCCTTTACTTTCTGCCTCGGGTCCCCATCAGTCCTTTGCGGCCACAGTCGTCCGCGGTGGGCATGTAGCGTGGCCCCTGCGTTTTGGCTCTTCCGTTCGGCATCCCCGCTAGCATCTCTGTGACCGCATTGTGCCTGTATGTAAAGGCTTCCCCTGGAAATAGACTCGAAGTGACGCAGCAGGGCCCGGGCTGTGCTTATTTAAAATACAGGCGTGTAGTCTTAAGCTGCTTCTCCAAAAAGCCTGTCCCCGTTTGCATCAGCCTCCATCAGATCTAAAGAAGCCAGGAGACGCCTGAGCCGCACTGGTTCTGTCTCCCTGCAGGTACCTGGAAGAGGTGGGCTACACGGACACCATCCTGGACATGCGGTCCAAACGCGTGCGCTCCCTCCTAGGCCGCTCGTTGGAGCTCAACGGGGCCGTGGAGCCCAGTGAAGGGGGCCCCAGGGCCACGCCAGGCCCTGGGGGGCTCAGCGGCGGTGAGTCGCTGCTGGTGAAACAGATCGAAGAGCAGATCAAGAGGTGAGCCCTCACAGGTCTGGTCCTCTGTGGCCCCTCCTCCTGGTGAAGGTCAGTGTCACAAAAGTCAGCAGTGCTCCTGGAGGCTCTGGTGGCCACTTCCTTCCTGGAGCGTGTTGTGGGCTGGTTTGTTCCAGAGCCCTTGGTCCCTTCACTGTTCTGGGTCCCCCTGTGCATCCACTCCGTTGGCATCGTGTTCGTGCCGATTTGTGCCCCAGCTCACACCCAGCCCGGCCCCCGTCCTGAGGCTCAGGCCTTATGCTACTCAGCACACGGAGCACCTGCTGGAGGCCGACCCTGGGTGGCATGCTGGGGCCCGGCGGGGAGCGAAACACACGGCTGCTGCTTGGGGACTTCTTCCTGGTTCCTTCTCTTCTCTGTAGTTGTTACTCGTCAACATAAGTAATTTAACGTTCGCTGACGTTTGGTGCTGTGGAGAAAGGTCAGAAGAAAGAAAGATGAGGAAATGGGCGGTGGGGGGGTGGTTATTCACAGAGGTGACATCTGGGCAGAGAACCGCAGGAAATGGTAGAGTAAGCCACACAAGTACTAGAAGGAGAATGTTCTAGGCAGAGGGAATGGTGATTGTCAGGTCAGGGTTCCACTTGGCGTGTTCAGGAACCCTCAGCGAGGCCAGTGTGGCTGCAGCGAGTGAGCACATGGGCTTGTGGTCTGTGGTGAGGTTGAAATCTCGGGAGTCAGATCAAATGGGGCCAGAGCAGCCACGATAGGGAGTTTGGAGTCTACTCTACGAGTTGTGGGAAGCCTGTGGTTTCGAGCAGGGTGTGACACAGTCCCATGTGCTGGCCTCCTTTGAGAAGGAGGGGCCGTAGGGCGGGAGCGGAGCCTCCTGGGCCGTCCAGGTGAGAGGTGGTAGATGCGGGTGGTGGAGGGGGTGGGGTGGCCGGCCTCTCTGCAGGTTTGCACTTTAAAAAAATGGATGTGGGGGAGAGGAAGGAAACTAGCAGGTGGCTCTGGGGTTAGGTCCAAGCAACGGGAGCAGCGTTGACTAGTGGGGAGGACGAGGAGTGGAAGGGATGGCAAGGGGGCCATCGAGGGCGGGTGGAGTTCGCGGGGCTGGGTCGCCCCCCTCTCCCAGAACCAGTGATTGAGTAGCCAGCCTGGGGCTCGGCTGGGGGGGCACAGCACTCCGGACTCCCCTCTGGCTCACCAGTGCGCAGGCGGGATTTGCAAGCTGGAGGCGGCGGCACAGGAGGCCGAGCAGGTCCGGCCAGGGTTGTGGTGGTGGTCGGGGGGGGACCTGAGTGGTGGCCGGCAGCTGAACGCAGACATGCTCCGCTGGGAGGCTGTGCACACGGCGGCCGGGGAGGGAGCGCTGGACTTGGTAACCCAGAGGAGGGATCTGTCCTCGGAACAGTAACCATATACCTGGGGGTTGGCAAGGACCCTCTAGAGCATCGGCCTAGTGGCAGGAAAGGAGGATGTTTGCATTTATCCGAACTTTGAATTCCACCTACTTTTCTACCCTGGACTCAGGTTCGGCAGGTATGTCCTTTGTTAAAGCTTGCCATCCAGTCGGAGGCATTAGACAGTTGGGCCGGAGTGGAAACAGGAGGGGACAGGCTCCCTGCCGGCGGGGCTGGTGGCAGGGACACAGGCATTGGCAGAGGGACCGCTTCCTCGTTCCCGCTGGCCATGTCTGCCACTCGCCTGACCTGTGCCCAGGCTTTGCCCGGCCTGTGGGCAAGGGGGCTGCTTTCTTGGCCAGCTCTCCTGGCTCCGCAGGTGCAGGCAGATGTGTGGTCGGGGCCGGGGGCTCATGCCCCGGGGGGCTCAGAGCTCGGGGAGAGGGGCCCAGGGTGCGGTCCGAGCAAGGGCGGCCAGGTTGTGAGTGTGCGTCAGGCGGAGGCTGGGACTGGAGCCCTCTGTGTGAGCGGGGTCCAGGCTCCGGGGGGGGTCACGGTGGGCTCAGCCCTCTTGAGAGCGGGGTCCAGGCTCTGGCCACAGCACCTCGGCGCCCTCCCATCAGCTTCGTCACCTGGCGGGCCTAATGCCCCCTCTGCCTCCCTCTCGTGGGCAGGAACGCGGCGGGCAAAGATGGCAAAGAGCGCCTGGGCGGCTCGGTGCTGGAGCAGCTCCCCTTCCTGCAGAGCTGTGAGGACGAGGACAGTGACGAGGACGACGACCTGGACGGCGTGCAGCACAAGAAGCAGCGCGTGAAGGTGCCCTCCCCTCGCCTGCCCCCCCCAGGGGGCCGCCGCCCACTCTGTGGACTGGCAGCAGAGTGCCCCTGTGGGTGCTCTCGGGGCTCCCTTCCCGGCCCTGTCTGTGTGCGGCCTGACCCTGTCCCTTCCCAGGACCGGCGTTCCCCTCTCCGGCCAAGCCCCTGCCCCGGGGCTGTGTCAGGGCCCGCCTCTTCACCCCCAGCCCCGCCTTCTCCCACCCCCCTTCGGTTCCGAGAGGCCGGAACTCTCCGGACTGGGCCAGCCATGCGCTGCCCTCTTGCAGCGCTCTCCCTCGGGCTGACCTCGTCACTGCTGCGCTGAGCTCTTCTTGGTGTGGCTGTGGCTCTCTGTCTTCTCCCTCAATAGACCGAGAGCTCTGCCAGGCGGGGAGTGGGGGTTTCCTTGCTCTCCTCTCCCCAGCACCCAGAATGGATGTGGCGGGGGCCCTGGGCACTGCCAGGGCCAGGTTGGGGGTCCCACGGGGGACTTTGTAGGCGCAAGCATCCAGTCTGCTCTTGTGTCAGGACCTAAGCCCAGGGGCACTGCCTGCAGGGTAGAGTCCAGATCTCAGCTTGGCTTCACGTTAGTGGCTCCCACCCCACTTCACCCCTGCTCCTCAACTTCCCGAGCCACCGTGCTCCTACTGTTTCAGCGGTATTAACCTCAGGCAAGGCCCGGGCTCCCCTGGCCGGTAAATGTCAGTTTGGGCCTTCATGAGCCTAGCCCTGTGCCAGCAGTAACAACGTGGAGACAGAGGTCCAGTCCCTGGCTTGGGGGAGCTTGTGGCCGGCGGCGTGCCCGTGCAGGGGTGCCTGTGTGTGGCCTTCCCATCAGAACCCCTCGCTGCCTCCTTCAGCCTCACCTTAGCACCCCTCCTCCAGGCAGCCCTCTCTGACCTCTCACCTGCCCTTCCTCCCCTTCCCTGGGCAGGGTTGGAGCCATCTGGACCCGAAGTGGTCCTCCCTGCCTGGTGTCCCCATGGCTGTGCGGGACCAGCTCTGTCTCCAGAGTCCCCAGTGTGGCTCAGCACAGGGTCCCGCCTGGCATGGGTGCTCAGGGAACGGACAGAGCCAGCATGCTAGAGCTGGTTTACGGGACAGTCAGGATCACGCAGGGTCTGGGGCCTCTACCCCTGTTCCTGCGCCCTCCCGCCCCTATTGGGATTTTCACTCCTTTCTCAGCTCTTACCTCATCCTCCTCTGGGAAGCCTGCCCACTCCGCTCTGCTCCTCCCAGCGGAGATCATTGCTGACTTTCCGTACTCCCTTAGGCCTTTGTGTCTGTCACTGTGCTTGTCCTGTGGGCCCTGTGGGGTGGCTCATTGTGCAGGGGTCTCGAGCCTCCAGGGCCACTCTCTCACCTTCCAGACCTGCAGTGACCAGGCTGATTCCAAAGACCTCCGAGATTCCAGGAGTGGCTGCTGGCTTGGCTGTGTGCCTTTGGGCACGTGATTCTGTCTGAGCTGCAGTTTCAGAATTCCTGCCTCTGGGTTGTTGAGGATTTAATTAACATGAGCTCATGCACAGAAAGCCCTTGGCTACACTGGCTGGCCGCACCGAGTGCTCGGGCACGGCGGGCAGAACAGAATTACTCAGGAACCCTGGAGGACGCCTGTTAGGCTGCCACGCTCCTCTAGAGCCCCGTTGCCCCCGTTGCCTCTCTGGGCATGCTGGCTAAACCTGGACCCTGGGTCTTCCACAGGGAAGGAAGGGAGGTTACCATGTCCTTTGCCTCTGGTCCTCCCACACAGGCCAGAGGCCGGCCCCTCCCGGATGCCTGAGCGGTTTTGACTCCAGTCCCTGCTTGGGGTGCTGAGCCTGTGGGAGGATCAGGCCGCACCCTCGAGGAGCTTGTGGTCTGACTGAGGCTGGCCCTGGAGGTGCCCAGGACTTGGTCCAGTCAGGGAACACTTAGGAGGGAGAAGTGTCCCCGTCAGAGATGGTGTTCGAGGCGGTGGTGATCAGAGCGCCAGTGCTGGGGTGGGGTATGTTCTTAAGCTGGCATTTAAAGCAGAAGTCAGTGTTCAAAACTGTTAGTGAGAATTCTGGGGCTCCCTTAAGCCACTTTCTGCGGTCTTTGAGGTTCCAAGCATACATCCCCTGGATGGCACTTGGAGTACAATGTAGCGACATCATGTGTAAGACGTCATTGTAGAAGGCTGTGTGTGAAAGGCAACCATGTGGGGAAATGCAGGTGCCGTGCTGCCCCGAAACCCCAAGTCTGGGAAGTCTGGGCTGGGGTCCAGGTGCATGCATCGAGGAACACGAGAGGATTGGTTCCTAGCGCTGCTTTAAGACTGACGGTGAGGACCGCCAGCGCTCACCTGCCCCAGCGTCCTGCTTCTCAGGTTGGAGGACCCGTGCTGTTTCCTCTCGTTCCAAGAGTAGCGCACGCTTGTCATATAAGAAAACAAAGCTTGAGCCAGCCAAGAAAGTTCTGTGGAAGACTCGGAGAACCCTTGGTAGGCTCACGGTCCAGAGCTGTCTTAGTGTTTCCGGGACGGCTCGGACTGGGGACCTGAGGTGAGGGGCTTCACTGCTCAGCCTGTTCGCTCGTGATAAATGCAGTAACGCATCACTGTTCGCAAGGTGGTCAGGTCACATGGGACGCTTGCCTAGCGCGCTGAATAACGCACAGAGGCTAGCGCCACCGGTCTCCCCGGGCACCTAGACATTCCCACTTGAATTGTGCGCCTCCGTACACACACTTGCACACCTGTGTTTCTCCTCTGCCCCAAAACAGGCTGTTTTGCCTTTTTTTTCCCTGAGAAGTACCGGTGCTGAAGGGGTGGGGAGGGGGCGGCAGAGGAGGGGCGGGAAGAGCTGGGCAAAAGCCAGGAGGAGGGTCCTGGGAGGGGATCACGCGTGCAGGTGGAGGTGGCAGTGATGGGAAGAGGTGTGCAAAGCCCCGCTGGGGGGCTGGGGGCGGGGGCTGGCAGCGCCCCGGGCCTAGTAAGGAGCGACCTCTGAAAGCTCCCAGCAGGGGGAGCACAGCCTCCGAAGTGTGTTAAGGGGAGCCTGCAGGGGGGAGGGCAGCAGAGCCTTGGCGGGGGGGAGGGGGGCGCGGGGGGGGGGGGGGTGTCAGGCGGAGGCTCAGAGCCTCCTGACCTGTCTGGCTTTCTCCGTGCCCAGCTGCCCCCCAAGGCCCTGGTGCCCGAGATGGAGGATGAGGACGAGGAGGATGACTCTGAGGACGCCATCAATGAGTTCGATTTCTTGGGCTCAGGAGAGGAGGGGGAGGGCTCCCCGGGCCCTCGACGATGCACTGGAGAGGGGACCCACCACGACCTGGGTAAGCGGAGGGTTTCCTGGCCGGCCTTCCTCCCGGGCGAGCTAGGGGCACGCACAGCCGCCACACAGCCGCCAGCAGCTGCTTCCTGCCCCCGAGTCTCCGCCGGACGGACACGCTTCCTGAGGGTGGGGGGGTGGCCCAGGAGAGCGCGAGGCCCACACCCTGGCGGCCAGGCCCTCACCGCTCCCCTGGGAAATCCCTGTGGCCATGCAGCAGGCCCAGCTCTTCCTGGAGCAGGGCCTCCAGCCCTCCCTGAGAGCACCTGGTCCTCGGTGGCCCCCGGGGAGGAATGGTGTGAGGACCCGGTGGGGAGAGGCGGACGGGGCCGTGCTGCGGCTTCGTCTTGTTCCAGGACTCCGAGCCGCGAGGCCCTCAGCCATCACGTAGGGTGGCTAGGGACTAAGACCCCTGCCAGGCTGGGACCACAGAGGGTCCTGGCGCAGTCCGTCTCCCCCGCCCGTCCCCGACTCCCACCTTGAGCCCTGCGCTCTGGGGCCATCACTGCCTGGCTGCCCCACGTTTGCCCAGGAGGGGCTGCTAGTGACCGGGACTGGTGAGCAACTCCAGCCCTGTGCTTTCGTCCCCCAGAAAGCCGGCGGGTCAAACTCCAGGGCATTTTGGCCGACCTCCGGGATGTGGACGGGCTGCCCCCTAAAGTGACTGGTCCCCCTCCTGGCACACCGCAGCCCCGGCCACACGAAGGTAAGAGGACCCTCTACCCTGGCCCAGTCCCCTGGGGCCCGTGGCGGGGTTGGGGGGGCGCTGCAGAGCTAAGCCCAGGGCTTCTGTGTCCTCAGGGTCAGAGCCTGGCCTCTAGTCTGCAGCCTCCCTGTCGCAAAAGTTCGTCTGTCTGTCTGTCTCCCTCTCTTGTCTGTCCTGCCCTGTCTGTCTGTCTCTCCCTGTCTCTTTCTTTCCAGCTGTGATTCTTGATCTTGTCCTCTCCCTGTCTCTCTTTCTGACTCCTTGTTTATCTCCCTCTCTGCCTCTCTCTGTCTCTCTCTCTCTCTCTCTCTCTCCCTGCCCCTCTCTGCCCCCTCCCTCCCCTACCCCTACCAGGTTCCTTTGGCTTCTCCTCAGACGTTTTCATCATGGACACTATCGGGGGCGGGGAGGTGAGCCTGGGGGACTTGGCAGATCTCACCGTCACCAACGACAACGACCTCAGCTGTGATGTAAGTTCTTGGGGTGCCCCACCCCCTGTGGGCCCTCATTGGGCATCCCACACCGAGCCTACTCTTGCTGAGCTCTGCCAGCTCTCGGCCCCCTAACAGGAGGATGCTGTGAGGTCATTCAGCAGCTCACCCTGGTTCACAGAGTGGTGTAGACGTGGGCGGGGGCGGGGGAGGCTTGAGGGGGTTACTGAGGTGCAGGGCCTGGAAGACACTGTGGTGTAGCCAGTGCCCAGCTCCTGCAGGTGGCACTCATTTCCACGCCAGCTTACGTTCATCTTGAGTCCAGGCCCCCCACGGGCTGGAGGCAGGGCAAGGGGGCACAGCATCGGAGGAAGGGGGCTCTGGGCCGGCACGGTGCAGGGCAGATACTCTGTGCGGGAGATAGGCATTGAGCTGGCCTTTGCAGACAGAAACTGAAAAAGCAGGCACGAGTGGGGCTGGTGGGCAGATGGGCCAGGGTGGAAGGAGACGTCAGGGCCAAGTGTTCAGAACCCAGTTCCCCCGGAGTGGCGCCTGGCCACCTGGTAGTTTCTGAATCAGGTGCGTGTGTGCGTTTCCCCATGGCACAACAGCCACCACAGCTTTGAGCCGGATCTCAAGTGGTTGGTGATCCCAGCGAGGTTGGGGGCACTGCTGTGGGATGCCAGGAAGGGGGGCCAGGGTGGAGGCTTTGAGCAGGAGGGTGTGCCCATGAGGGCGCCACCGCACAGTGGCGGAGCCTCTGGTCCTAAAGAGCTAGGGCAGTGGTGATGGCAGAGGTGGGGATCCTGGGGGATGGAGCCCACATGAAGGGGCTGGTCAGGTGTGAACCCCCCATGTTGGGACAGGACACTGAGTTTTGCCTGACAGTCTGCTCATCTTTGCCAGCTGGCCACCTCTGGGTCCCCCACAGAGAGCACCACCACCGTCTACCAAGGCATGGGCAGTGTCTCTGGGACCCCCCCCCAGCGACCTGCTGATTCTGCTCCCCAGTCTCTCCCTACCGTGTGTACCTGTCCCCTTTTCTGCTCCCCAGCATGTGCTCTCTGTGCCCTCCTCTTTCCCTGAGAGGCTTCTCTCCTGATCCCTTAGCTTCTCTGCAGCCACCCCCATCTTCCCCGGTCCATGTCAGTTCCTTGCTCTAAACCCTTCCAGGGCTCCCTGTTTCACTCAGGGTGAGATGCAGGTTCCCGAATGTGGCTCTGGCCTCAGCTCCTGCCACTCTGTCCCTTGCTTTCTGTAACCTGGGCCTCTTCTCAGTCTCCGGATCTGCTCCGGCAGCTGCAGGGACTTTGCACATGCAGTGTCCTTCCTCAGTCTCCTCCCCTGACCTGGTTAAGTCCTGCTCCTTTGGCGGCTCCTCAGGAAAGCCCAACTGACCGCCACAGAGGTGGCCAGGCTGCTTGGGTACCTCTTCCCGGTCCATTTTTAATTCCTAGCGCTGCTCGGAGTTCACAGTCCCACGTGCTGTGGGGTAATCTGACGGTCTCCCCCAGGCCCCCTCTGACCTGACTGTGTGCCCAGATTGCAGCTAGTCCCCGCATACTGTAGGACTCACCGAGTGAGCGAGGAGTGCTGTGAGCGCCTGGGGCTGGAGGCCAGTGGCTGGGGGAGGGGAGCACTCCACGTGGGTCTGGGTGACTTGACATCCTGGATGCCAGTCAGCATCCGTGGGACTGTGGGGACACTGAGGCAGTTCCTCCCACCCCAGCTTTCTGACAGCAAAGATGCCTTTAAGAAGACGTGGAACCCCAAATTCACTCTCCGCTCACACTACGACGGCGTGCGCTCCCTGGCTTTCCACCACAGCCAGTCTGCCTTGCTCACCGCCTCTGAGGACGGCACGCTCAAGCTCTGGAACCTGCAGAAGGCTGTCACAGCCAAGAAGTGAGGGCGGCAACCCCAGGGGGGAGGGGAGGAGGAGGGGACATTTGGGTTCAGGGTGATGAGGGCTCCCGGTGACATTCGGCTCCTCTGCCTCACCCCAGGAATGCTGCGCTAGATGTGGAACCTATCCACGCCTTCCGGGCTCACAGGTAGGGAAATGCCCCCGAGGGGAGTCTGGTCCCTGGCCTGCTCACTGCTACACCAGGGGGCCGATGGCCCTCTGCACACGCACACCCTTGCTCCCAGTGCTCCCCAGACCAGGTGCCCCCATAGCTGGTTCTCAGCCCAGCCTTTGGAGGAGGAAACGGGTGTGGGGAGTTGGGGGAAAGCAGGCCTGGGTGGCACAACCAGAGCCCCAGATGCTGAATTCCTTTTGGCCATCCTTGAAAAATCTAGCAGAGGACTTCAAGGTCCTGTGGTGGGGGCCTGGGGAGGGGTGAGGTTGAGTTTTTCATCTCCCCTTCACCACCTGTGTGCCCTGCAGGGGCCCCGTGTTGGCAGTAGCCATGGGCAGCAACAGTGAATGCTGTTACAGTGGCGGGGCGGATGCCCGCATCCACAGCTGGAAGATTCCAGACCTCAACATGGACCCCTACGATGGTTATGGTGAGGACAACCCTCCACCCCGCCCCGCGGAGGGGAGCATGGAGCAGCGTGTTCAGCGTGTGACAGGGGTCGGACAGGCTGAGGCAGGAAAGAGGTGGTGTGGGGGGAATGCCTCCCAGAGGAGCTGGTGGGTGAGCTGACTCAGAATCAGCACTGGGGCCGGGGATCAGCCCATGCAGAGGCGCGGCGGGCCCTGGCAGTGCCTTATAGGGCTGAGCGCGGGGAGGTGGCGAGCAGAAGTAGAGCAGGGGAGAGGGGAGAAGTTAGTTGGGCCAGGCTGTAGGGAGTCTGCGCTTGGTCTTTGGCGCACCTTTAATAGTTAAGTGGAGAAGTGATCACACCGTGACTTCTGTCCAGTGTCTGTCCCCTGCCTTGTGACACCTCTTTTGATAACTCTTGATGACTTGCACGGTTCTGGGCAGCATTTTGTCATGGTGGAGTTTAGAGGTCTGTCTTCCCTCGAGGAACACATGCTGTTTCCGCAAGAACAGTCCCACCCTGTGAAAGGTCAAGGGTCAGTCCCAGGTAGTATGTGCTCTGGGCCATGCAAGCTGCCCCACACTCGGGGTCAGCAGGGCCTGACCGGAGAGGCCTCTGTGGACTTGAGTGACCAGGGAAGTGGGGCTTGTGCCCCGGGGCGGGAAGGGCTGCAAAGAGCACGGGCTGGACCGGGCCGACCCACAGGGCCCAGGCTGCAAAGGGTCTTGGGGCCACAGGACCACCATTATTCCTTCTCCCCTTAACTAAGTCCTAAAAATCGTGTACCAGGTGTCTGCTTTGTGTCAGGTACTATTGTGGGTCCTGTGGGGTTGGCAGCGAACAGGGGGGACTCCCAGCCCTCTGAGCTTCCATTCTGGGTTGCCTTCAGAGTCCTAAAACCATCCCAGAAGCGCCAGTGGTCAGAGTGCAAGCAGCTAGCTGGGGCACGTTCCAGTGGTGACGGCTCTGAGGCCCTGAGGAATCTGGGTGAATGGGTGGCTCCAGCCCGGCCGCCTGGCTCCCAGCAGAGTTGGTGCTCTCGAGCTGGCCAGGTTGGTGCTGGCAGTGGCAGCCCTGACGTAGCCCGTTTCCTCCTGTTGGTGTGTCCAGACCCGAGCGTGCTGAGCCATGTCCTGGAGGGCCATGGGGACGCTGTATGGGGCCTAGCCTTCAGTCCCGCCTCCCAGCGCCTGGCCTCCTGCTCTGCCGACGGCACCATCCGTATCTGGGATCCCAGCAGCAGCCCAGCCTGCCTCTGTACCTTCCTCACAGCCAGCGGTGAGTGGAGGGATCAGGCCTGGGAGGGACACCGACACTTCACAGAGGACTCGGGTAGAGCTGGAGGCCCCGACAGGAACGTGACTCCTGATGAGGGCCCAGGCTTCCCAAGTCCCCTCCCCCAGCCCCCAGGCTGGACCAGGCCTAGTAAGCAGCCTTCTCTCCCCTCTGCCCTCAGATCATGGGATCCCCACCTCAGTGGCCTTCACCAGCACCGAGCCTGCCCACATCGTGGCATCCTTCCGCTCTGGCGACACCGTCTTGTATGACCTGGAGGCTGGCAGCGCTCTCCTCTCGCTGGAATCCCGGGGGAGCAGTGGTAAGAGGGGCCCCGGGGCCCGGGCTGGTATCTAAGTGCCTCCAAGGCCCCAGTTCCTCCTGTGGCTTTGGTGACCCAACATCCAGTGAGCAGAAGATGGCTTCCCTACCCCCCTCAGGGGCTCTGGGTGGGAAGGAGATAAGAGTCCCAGCTGCTACCCTTGTGGCTAGCACGGGGCTCCTGGGAAGGCCGAGGAAAGAGAGATCATAGGGACTCGCCTGTCAGGCCTCTTGGCGGAGTGGACGGCCCCTGTGGGTGGCTGTACCCTGTCTTGGGCCACCCCCGGCAGGGCATGGTGCCTGTCTTACAGATGAAGCACTCCAGGCCCGAGCAGGAGAGAGCCAGGCAGGGGCAGGGCTGTGGGACCATGGTTCTCCTCTTGTCTTTGTCCTGGTCTCCCTGATTTCCCCCATGTCTTTCCCTCCTCCTTGTCTTCCAGGCCCAACCCAGATCAACCAGGTGGTGAGTCACCCGAACCAGCCCCTCACTATCACCGCCCACGACGACAGAGGCATCCGCTTCCTGGACAGCCGGACAGGTGAGGCCCCGCCTTCCCAGCCCCCACTCACTCGTGCTCGTGGCGGGGCTGCCCAGGTGACAGAGCTCCTGGTGCCCATGTTGCGGGCTCTCGGCGTCCTGTCTGGGCCTTCGCCTCCCCAGGCAAGGCAGCGAGGGAAAGTAACCTGCCACCCACCCTGTCTTCCCTCAGGGAAATCTGTGCACTCCATGGTTGCCCACCTGGACGCGGTCACCTGCCTCGCCGTGGACCCCAACGGCGTGTTCCTGATGTCGGGAAGTAAGTCGGGACTCTGCGGGCTTCTAAGGAGCAAGGGTGTGTGGGAGTGGAAGAGGAGGAGACGTGGGCACTGGTCACGAGGGAGTCCTCCTGGGCTCGCGGAGGTGGGCGAGCAGAGCCCCCTGGGGACATTTGCCTACATCTTAGTTCGTCCACATAACCCTCTCAGGTGGGCGTGTTGTCCTCACCATGCAGATGTGGAAACAGGCTCAGAGAAGTGATGTACTTTGTCTCAGCGAAGTGGGCTGGTTGCAGGAATGAAGTTGGGGTCTGTCTGAGTCTCCGTCCCCATGGGATCTTAGCATTTGGGAGCATGTGTTCTCTGTGGATGAGGGCACTGAAGCCCAGCTCCTGCGCAGCTGTGCCTCCAAAGGATGGGGTGGGACGTGGGCCGACGGAGAACGGCGGTAGCTGCCCAGAGGTGAGGGCGGTGCACGGCTCCTCAGGGAGGCCACGGGCAAGGGGCCTCCTTCCACTGGCCTCTGCTCTTTGCCGTCAGAGCTTGTGGGAGGTGATGAGCGAGCGAGCACACAGGATGGGGACCCATCGTGGCCTGTTTTCCATCTGCCCCATGACAGTAGCAGCTGTCTCCAAGGATTGTGGTAGAGGGTGCGGTCAGCGAGATCGAGTCTGGGGCAGAGAGGCTTTGGGACAGGGCCCAGGTCCCCCCTGTGAGGGACAAACAGAGCCGGCCTCCACCACAGCCAGCCTGATACTTCTAACGCCTAAGTCAGGCCGTCTCCATAGGTGTCTCGTGCCTCAAGCCCCAGCCCTGTCTGCTCCCCACTCTCTGACCTCCCCCCACCCCATGTCCCTGCTCAGGCTGCTCCAGCCACACCCACCTCCTGCTGGTCCTTAGAACCTTCCCTTGGCCCACCCTGCTGCCTGCCAGACTCTTCCTCCTGATACCCCCTTGGCCGTTCTGTCCTCACGCTGACCAGTGCTCGCAGTGCTGTTGATCCCTCTGGCATGATTCATTCTGCTTTCTTGTTTACTCTCTACCACACTGGAATGTCAACAGCCCCGGGGCGGGGCGGGGGGGGGGGGGGGGGGGGGGGTTGGCCTAGTGTGTTCACTGTGCCTCCAGGGCTCAGTACACAACTCGGCAGCTCGATGCTGGGCCGAGGTGGGTGAACAGGCCAGAGCCCTCACCCAGTGCCAAGGCCAGCTCCTCCAGAGGCTGAGGTTCAGAGGAGCCGGGGTGCATGCTGGGGGACAGCCCTTTCTGCTCCCACACCTACGCAGGCCACGACTGTTCCCTGCGTCTGTGGAGCCTGGACAACAAAACATGCGTGCAGGAGATCACAGCCCACCGCAAGAAGCATGAGGAGGCTATCCATGCTGTCGCGTGCCACCCCAGCAAGGCCCTCATTGCCAGCGCTGGCGCCGACGCCCTGGCCAAGGTCTTCGTATGATGCCCACCTGGCCCCGCCCTGGCTGCCGCGCCGGCTGGGGAGCGGGGCCGGGCAGGTGGCACTGAGGTGAGAGGCTGGACAGGAGGGAGGCTTGGTCTGGGAGGGCAGAAACCCCCTGCCTCCTCACCCCGAACGGGACTTCAAACACGTCCCTTTGCTCGGCCCTTCTAGAGGGTGCCATGTCCCAAGGTGGTAGTCGAGGCACCTTGTGAGCATCATCGAGGTAGCAGCCCCTGGGCATCGAGAGAGGGGGCTGAGGTGGCCTGAGCTCTTGGACCTGGGGTGTCATGCTCCGGTCTCCCTTCCCTTCTGTCTACCTCAGGTGACTCCCAGCCTCAGTCTGGAGGCCCGGAGGCCCGGCCTCTTCCCGCCTGCCTGGGAGCCTGGTGGTGCTAACGGCCCTTTCCCCAGGAGGCCGACCCCCACGGCCTGTCCTTCCCCAAGCACCCAGCCTGGGGAGCAGCCTCCTTCAGGAATCACCCTCCAGGATAGCCTCGGGGAGTTTCCTCTCTGTGCCCTGACACCCAGTTCTGGTATCTGAGCTGCCTTCTCGGGTGCAGCACAACCGGGGCTGGGTGTCCTTGGGGATCAGCTTTTCCAAGACGCCAGAAGGTGCCAGGTTCTCTCTTTGAACCCCCGACCCCCCCTTCTCCATCTTCCCAGACCTGAGTGGGAGCTGTGCTGGGAGGAGCCCCAGGTGCCCCTGTTCTGGGTCCCCTGGGAAGCCATGGAGCCAGTTGGACCCTGGGCTGCCCTCAGGGGGAGTACCTGGCCTGGCCCACCCCACAAGCACGCCTGGTTCCCCCACCCTCCCCTCCAGTTCCCTCAACACAGCTTTCCAGACACTACCCAGCGCCTCCAGGGCCAGTAACTGCCTGGGGAGCAGGTGATGCCCTCGGGGGAGGCGCCCACCTCTACCTCCCCCACCGCTCCCAGCACTCCTCCAGGGGCAGCCCCCCAGCCCCCATGGGGTTACCCATGGGGAGAGATGGCCTTCTCTTGCCCCTCCCTAGGGCATGGAGGCTGGAGGGGGTCCCCCGGGTCCCCCACAACTCCCTGTATATCTGTATAAATAAATGGGATGTTAATGGAGCCCCGCCCCCCACCCCCCATGTTGTTATCACTGTGTGATAGTCTGTGTCTCCTCTCTTGGCCCTCCACTCTCTTCCTCTATTTATTTCACTCTCTTTTTTGGGTTCTACCCTGAGCCCTTGGGCCCCCTTCCAGGTTCCTGTTTATAAGCCCCCGTCACCTCTGCCCTGGACTTGGATGTGAAACTTGTCTCAATAAACCCTTTGGAGTAAGATGGGTGGTGGTGCTGACTGTCGAGGGACCTGAGGGAGCCGAGAACTTTGGGAGATGAGTCTTGGGCTCTGCCTGGGCTGGGTGGAGCTCAGGGAGGGGATATGATGGGTTGGGGTTTTGTGGTAGGGTGGGGGGTGGGAAGAGAGGGGCCCAGAGTTTGGGCAGGGTGTGGGTGGAGGCCCGGAAATGGGGGCACAGGACCGAATCTCCCCGCGCCTCTCCTTTCTGTTCCTAAGTACTCCCTCCCCCAGGGGCCTCAGCAGCAGCCTGGGGGCAGAGCCCTGGCAAGCAGATGATATAAGGTGACAGATCACGACCTTCTCCTTCTCTCCGCCCCCCCCCCCCCCCCCCCCCCCCCCCTGGGCTTACGCGGCCCCTCAGCCCACATGGAGTGGGGACCGGAGAGCCTGAGACCTGCCCTACAGAATGCCTGCACCCTGCTGGGAGCTGCCACAAGGGTGCAGGTGTTGGAGGTGCCCGGTCCCTCACTGCAGGTGTCCTGAGGAGTCCCATCCCTTCACCAGGTCAGTTACGCACCTTAGCAGGAGCCAGACCCCGTGCTAAGTTCCTCACATGCTGGTTCACTGGAGCCTCACAACAAGCTCAGGAAGTGGGGATCCGTGAGCACAAGTTACAGAAAATGAGGCGGGGAGGCGCTGCTCGGGACCCCCAGTGGGTCGTAATTCATAGCCAGTCCCATGGGGCTCCCTCTGCACTTTTCGGGGCCTTGGCATCCTCTGTACAACGGGCCTGATGCTAATGCCCACCCCCTGGGTTGCCAGGGGCTGTGCCCCAGTGCCCAGAATAGGACCTGGCCCCTCTTGGGGCCCCGGGAACACTTGAAGGATGCAGGTGGCCAGATGGCCATCAGGTGACACTGACAGGAGCCTAGCTGCGAGCTCCACGTGGCCTTGCTCCCCCCTCATCCCTCAGGGCTCTGAGCAGCTTCCCCAGGTGGTGGTTTGGGTTTTCACTCCAGCCTCAGACTTCCTTCCTCAGCCCCAGCTAGCGCCCGGATGTGGTGGCAGAGTCACTGTACCGACCTCAGCTGCCCTCAGCAGCCCTTTAGTGGGGGGGGGGGGCTCCTCTTGAGAGGGGGGCTCCTCTTGAGGCCCCCATCCCCAACCAGCCCTGCTGGTCTGGAACCCAGGTGGGCGGGTGGCTCATCTCTACTGGGATGCCTTTGAAGCTCAAAGCCAGGCCTTGACCCCTCAGTGAAGGGGGTGGGGTGGCAGCAACTCTAGTGGTGATCTTGGACAAGTCATTTTGCCCCTAGGGGGTTCAGTTTCCTGAATGTAAACTAAACGGCGGCCATTCTTTATTATTAGCTGGGGAGGAGAAATTCAGTCTGAGTTGCTCCTGAAAGGGCTAGAAGAGCTGTTTTAGCATAAGCCTGGCACACAGTAGGCCGGCATTCAATGCTTGCTGGATGACTTGACAGAATGAATGGATTCCTAAACATCTGAGAGCTTCAGGTGCCCACCCCTTTATCTCTGCAAAGTTCAGTGCCGGCCACCACCTGCTGAACTTCAGCCCTGTGCCACGATCTCAGTAATCCCCCCAAAGACCCTCTGGGCTCAGTCCGATTACTGTCCCATCTAAGAAACAGGCTCAGGGGAAGCCACCTACCTAAAGTCACACAGAGAGACACGTGCACACTGCCCCCGAAAACGATCAGTTCATCGAGAACGTGGGGGTGGGTGTGCTGTCTTCCCTGGTTGCTATGGCCCCTCCAGGCACCCCCAGGTCTGTGGCTCTTCACTCTCCTGAGGGCTGGGGCAGAGTGGGGAGCTGATAGAGGGAAACTACACCCCTTCTCCCCCCCCCCACCCCACCCCCCACCCCCGTGCCTGACCGGCCCTGCACAGATAACCCAGCCCCGGCCCCTCCAGTTGCCTCCATGCACCTCGTCAAGGCTGCCAGAGACAAGACAGGAGGCAAGGACCTTTGGCCCATCTGGAGGCCTCTGTCTTCCCACCTGTGTAATGGGCTGGGGATCTCTACAGCACCGCCTCCCCTGGGCGGGGGTGGGGGTTGGGGGGGGCGACGCTCTTGAGAAGAGGTAGGCCAAGCCCAGAGGTCCCAGAGCGGGCTGGACCTGACACCAGTTTCCCACCCTTTCCCCTGCGGTGGGCGCCGGATGCAGGCCAGGCTAGACTAGACGGGGCCCCCTTCCTTAAAGGGCCAGGCGCCTTCTCAGCCCCGGCCCCACGACGGTGGCTCGCCCCTCCTCTCCAGCTCAGGGAATAGTTAACTTTCCAGACTTGGGTGTGTTGGGGGAAGGAATCGGTCCGGGATCCCTGCCCTGCATCTCACACCCCAGACACCCGGACCCGGGCGGGGCAGGCGACGCCCCCAACTCCGAGGTGCCGGGCCCGCCCTCCCCTTCCGCCCCGGCCCCCAGCAGGCTCCGCCCCTCTCCGACGTCACCGAGGCCCGCGCGGATTGGCCGACCGCGCCATCGCTCGGGACACTTCCTCCTGGGCCGCAGCCGCAGAGTTAAAACTTTGGAGGGGGAAAAAGAGCCACCGGCGCCGAGCGCCGGGTGACCCTCCTTTCCACCCCCCACACACCGCCGCCGGTAACGCCCCCTTCTCCGCGGCCCCCGACCGAACTTTTCTCCAACTTCTGAGACCCGTGAGATTCCCCCTTAGCACCCCGGCCCTCGGGATCCCTTTGCCCATCCCCGGGCCCGTCGGATCCTTGGGATCCACTCGATCCCCGACTCAGAGACTCCTGTCCTCCATCCCCAAGGTCTGATGAAGCCCGCGGACCCCCTTCTTGATTGGATCCTCGTCTTAGAGCCACTGTATTCTGGGATTCCCCCTGCTGCCTTCTCAAGCCTTTCTCTCCCCAAGGGGCTTTGGCTCCGGGGCTCTCCTGATCCCTGAGATTCCGACCTCCTAGATTTTCTTGGTTTCTTGGAATCTCTCAAGCGCTGGGTCCCTCAAACCATTAGATTTCTCCTTTATG